CCCACGCCCTCCCCCCTCCTAACACAAGATGCCAGTTCCCTTTTGTGTTTTGTAGATTGTGATGTCTGGACTCGGCTTTGCACCCTGAATGTAAGCTCAAATACCCAGTCCCGCCTCTTAGTCCTGCCAACAGTTGGTAGTTTTCATTTGACATTTGTGACATTCGTTTCTAACTCCCGTACGCATAGACCTCGCCAGTCAATACATCTGTCCTAACCTTACATCTTCGTTTTGGCCCTCGGGACCCGGTCCTCCCTTCGTTCCAGTCTCCTTTCCTCTTCCCTGTTAATATTCATTTAACGATAAATAATCTTTTATGGCAATTTCTTTAAAATGTATACGCAATATATTTCTTTTCCTTACTGTTTCTCGTTAAATTACCGATAAATACCGATTCATCTTGTCCGGCAAGCAGGAAATCCTTGCAACAGCTAAGTTATTTCCAGTTATCATCGTAACATCAGTTTACCAAACTCGTACGCAATGACCTCGCTATTCCAATACATCCGTCCGAACATATTCATCTTTCGTTTCGGCCGTCGCCTGCAACAATTCAATCAGGTAACTTAAGGCGCCCTTTTAGATTCAGGAACTCTATCTGCCGTTGTTCTCGCAGCTCGCTTTTCTCTGAATCATCGACCAACACCGACGCGGCTGCCCCCCATCCCAGAACCTCAGAGCATGTCTCAAGTTCCGTTTTTGCTCCACCTGCTCCTTTTCCCGCTTCGGGCCACGCGCAAGAACCCTCCGCACTGTCCACCATATTCCAACCAAGCACAGCCTGCATACGCCATCCTTGAATATCAACGCTCCTTGCCACCGCCTCGAGAGCCACCCCAGATCGACACCCTCATTCAAAGATTTGCATACAGTCCTTTACCTAGTTTACAGGTCACCGCCAGATTCCTCATACATTGCCACTTACTGTCAGCCACCTTCGAGCCCTGCCCATAGTGGATAAATTCCCAGATAGAGAAATTGAGGCGCATTCACCGATCGGCCCATTGAGTCCACCGTTCCCCTACCATTCGAATCAATCCAACCCACGTCGCTCCACGAGCATGACACGACAGACGACGCATTGCATCATGGCACCAATTCTCCCACCCACGTATAGTGTTTTATTCTTTTACGACAACCACACCACTAAGCTGAAACACGTCCAGCCTATCCACAAATGCAGGACCCTTCCACTGAAGCTGCTAAATCGTTGGCAGGTGGTTTTCAGCCCAAGTGGCTGCTTGAATTTCCCATTCCCCCTCTTCTGCTTCCTCTGCCATCCCAAACGTACTCAGTAATCATAGCAGTCATTCTTTCAGGTCTCCAACGGTCTAAGAAATTCACCACCACCATTTCGACAACCGTAACCCAGGGACCAGTCCCACTGCCTTAACACGCCACAGTTCACATGCAAGCTTACCCTAGCTTCAGCCCCAGCATTAATTCATCACCCGATTCTTCCTTGCCATCCCAGGTCGATTAAAATCTCAATCGCCGACATGCTTCTCTCGCTTCCTCGTTCTATAAATTTCATACAAACAGTACTAGCCCTCCCCGACAACCGATCCTACTCCAGTCCCCACATCTTCAGCCACCATCCTCCTACTGACTCCTTCCAGATAGTCAACCCCCTTGGTAGGCTTTTTCTTTTGCTCGATAGCCTTCATTCCCGTTCACCAATCCCTCGTTAAATCATCGTACCCACACTTTATCAGTTTCGTCACAGGAATTTTCCCAGAGCCACACTCCGTGGGTGTTCCCCTTGCATCCCAGGACACATCCACTGCCTCCACGCAGGGAATCCCAGATATCCGCCAATAACCCTTTCGCAGATGGTCTTTCTCGAGCATATCGCACGTACATCGGTTTACGACCATAACGTTATCCACGCCCACTGTTACGAGTCCATCCGAAGTCTTTTTTGGGCTCTTTTGCAAGAGATACGAAGAGACAGCTCCCCCACTCTGCTTCTCGCAACCCACTCTGTTTCCCTATTACCACCGTACACGAACCTCTCCCATCCATTCATCGATCAGCCAACTGATCTTCATTCCTCGACCTTTCATTCCTCGACCTCCATTTCCCTCGATTCCCTTCCCTCATTCCTCGATCCTTTTTTTTTTTTTTTTTTTTTTTTTTTTTTTTTTTTTTTTTTTTTTTCTTTTTTTTTTTTTTTTTTTTTTTTTCCCTCCATTCCTCGATCCTTCCCTCATCCTTCGACCCTTTCCCCTCATCCCTCGACCCTACCCTCATCCCTCTCCCTCCGACCCTACCTCCTTCATCCCTCGACCCTACCCTCATCCCTCGACCCTCCTTCCATCCCTCATCCTCGACCCTACCCCCATCCCTCGACCCCCCACCCCTTCATCCCTTCATCCCTTCATCCCTCCATCTCCTCAGTTATACCACATCTGTTTATCATTTGTTCTTTATTATGTGCAATCAACTTTTTTCGTATTTCATACCATTTGAGGCTGGTCATTGTTAGTGAAACCTTGTCGGCTGCAGAGCTTTTCTCTATTTCATTCTTCCACCAGCAGCAGAGAAATTGCGACAACCCACCCACATAAGAAGTACTGTAACTTTCACTGCATTATGACACGTTGTGGTTAACCTAACTTCTTGGGTTACTGTTTATCTGAACATCAACAAATAATTGCTCAGAAAAACAAACCAAAACAATGATGAGACCGTTTATCCTGAGTGGGCGTGGCCAAGCGCGTACGTAGGCGGATGTCACGTTACCATAGTAACAGCATAGTCACAGCTCTCGTCTGTTGTAGCTAACCTGCCCGAGAGTAAACTTCATTAAAGTGGCCTGCTGGTCATTTGTCAAACACTGAGCTGGGGCGCTTGCTTCGGGATCATTAAGGTAATACCGATGTATAATGGAGGGTTATATCCCTTAGCTAGTGTCTAAGGTTATCCTCTTATAGCAAAAGAAGGCATCGTTAGCCGCCAGAGCTAACAAAAGAGAGATATTTTACGGGACTGGCGCAGTTATGCTTCCGTTTTTATTTTCAAAATAAAATTGTAGTTTTTTTTAAAACCAGCTACTTTTAGGCAGTTTGATGACCAACGCCCACCTTATGTTTATCTATGTATGATATTGCAGAAACTCTGGTTTTAGTGTTTTGTAAAGCTTTAAGCGCTTTAATCTGAAATAGTTCAAACGCTGCCTGCTCTTATTTTGAAAGGGAAAACCCTGACACCGGACGTCGCAACGCAAAAAACAGCGCCAACTTCCCGCATTTATCCTTAGCCGTGTTTTTCTAACCGTGTACGTTTTAACATTATACACTGTAATGACTTCACTGTGGTGGCAGTGTCTTTAGGTGGATACGCGTAAAACCTGCACATAAATGTATGACAACGCTGCTTTATCACTAACTAACGTCAGGTAATTAGATATTTTAGCGTTTAACGCCAGTCATGCATTTGCCTCGACTTGCTGTCTAGTTGTTGTTCATTGCTCGTCTCCAGCAGGGTCTGAACATGTCCAATGACCTCGCTGGTGTGTGGGAGGTGGCACTGAGTGATGGTGTCCACAGGATAGAGTTTGAACATGGCACGACCACCGGGAAGAGGGTCATCTTCGTCGATGGAAAGGTGCGGATCGTTTGTTGTTTTTAAAAAAAAACCTGACCCCCTGTTTGTGCAGCTTCTCTCACTTTGTGATTTTTTCTTTCTCTGCAGGAGGTAGTGAGGCGGGACTGGATGTTCAAACTTGTGGGGAAGGAGACTTTCAGTGTGGGCAAGTCAGACACCAAAGCGACCATCAACATCGATGCAGTCAGTGGTTTCGCCTATGAGTACACCTTGGAGATCAATGGGAAGAGCCTGAAGAAGTACATGGAGAACAGATCAAAGGTCACCAGCACCTGGGTTCTCAACTTGGATGGCATTGACTGCAGGGTGGTGCTGGGTGAGCCTCTGTGTGTGGATATTATTCACCTCCTGATTATGTTGTGGTATTGTTGGGTTTATTTGTTCATTCATGTAACCAGTCACTGGATTCATATATAAATCCGCATTGTGTGATTTCTGCCCCTCCAGAACTATCTACTAATATAAAGTTGGAGCTGAGGCTAAGCTCTTTAACAGCTTTAAGCCCTACGCCATCTTCAGCCACCGCTGTCATCGGGACATCTTTGAGTTAATCCTTCTTATAAGTACGCCGCTTACAGTTGATCAGGCGACACACGAGGACTACTGTACAGCAGTGTGCAACAGTAATCTGTAAATCTCAGCAGTAAAATAATCAAAATAATTCAGTGAGCAGGCGGAAATATGTGTGTGAGCTGCAGTAGTAGTCTCACAGGTTGAATTTAAATGTTGTTGGCTGTAACTTCTCAACATGTTGTAATTAGAAGCATTAAACCAGTTTAATATTGCCCTCGTGTAGTTTTAAGGGAGGAAGTTTGCTTGCTTTTAACTTCAACTCACTGGAAGCTCTCAGTAAGTTCACAAGTGTCCTCAAGAGGTGGCTTTAACCAATCACAATAAGACCTACAGCATTCATTCATTCAAAAGTCTCATCTTTCATGGTACTCAAAGACGGTTTACAAGAGTTAAAATGATCATCGAAACAACACACACACAGAAATATGCAACACACAACATTCACAATACTATCTTTACTTCATCATGCGTCGCCACCACGGCTCTAATAATGGTGGGATTTCAAAACCAGGACCTGCAGTTATCAGTCAAACATACGAAGAAGAAGAATTGTTTGGTTAAACGGTGCAAATATGTTTCCTCTTTTTATTTTTAGACTTTATTTAGGTATTTCTTATTTGACTCAAACAATGCTTAAACAAAGAGCAGGTCAATAAGTTATTAATAGCATATTTTACATCAAATTCAAAAGAAGTAAAAGGCTACTTGTTTTAGTTCAGTTGGAGGTTTTTAAATACAGCGGTTAAGAAATAAAAGACTTGTTCTGACAACCTCAGTCAAATATATTCTTATTTTATACTTTACTACTTTATTTCTTTATGTGTTTGTATTTTGTCATTTCAACTTTTGTAGGCCTTATACTTCACTGTAACTATTTCAATGTTTAAAGAGGGTTTTCTATTCTTAGCTGATCTATTTGTCAAAGAAAGCCTGCAAGTGATTCAAGACACAGAAAGGATACCAATCAGGGCATTGCTCTCTTGCTTGTTCTGGCACACTAGATAAACACAAACATTCTCACACCAACGCCTAACAGCATTGAAAACAAACAGGGACTCAAACCTGACGGTACACATACTGCGACCTGTTCAGCCACTGTTAACTGGCAGTCACACCACATACGTTTATTGCTCAACAGTCGATTCAGATTCTGTTTACTTTCTTTTCAGAGAAAGACACAATGGATGTTTGGTGTAATGGACAAAAGATTGAGACTGCAGTAAGTATAACAACAGTAACTCATACTGATTTGTTACGCAATAAAGGACATATCAGTGCATTTAAGAAGTTATATGTAGATTCTGTTATCAAGGTTGTTAATGCATGTGTCCTAAAGTCAGCATTATAAAAGCTAAGGCCTAACAAAGCCTCAAACACACTGTGGTTTCCACACTTGCTTGCATATTAGACCTTCTCCAGAGCGACCAATAATGAACTAAACGATTGCTTTCTTTTCCCACACGTTTGCATCTGCAGGGGGAGTTCGTGGACGACGGCACAGAAACACATTTCACACTCGCGGACCACAACTGCTGCGTGAAGGCCGTCAGCAGCGGGAAGAGACGAGACGGGATCATCCACACGCTGCTCGTGGATGGCACAGAGATAGCTGAATGCACAGAGTGACCGTGTGGGTGTGTGTTTCTACATTTGTGTGAAAGCAGAGATCTCGTTTGTACGTGTGACTCTTGGTATCTGTGAAGAGTAGAAAAAAAAGTCATTTAAAGCTTTTGGGAGTCAGGGACCAATTGACAAAGATATGCGCTCCAGTGTTTGGATGGCCATCCTCTGGAGGGTATATTAGCCATACATCGGTACTGTAAAGGTTGCTCTGTGTTAATATAGTACAAGTTGAAGACGGGACCTGCAGTCTGGGCAGTTTTAGAGGAGAGGGTACAGCCATACATTTCAGCCAGAAAAAGGGATTTACTGTCTCAAAATGTAACTTCACATTGAAACACTTTTTTGAGTCGTAAACTTGTACTTTATATTGATTATAAATACTATAAATTTTAGTACTGGTATCAATATTGGAGTCCAGATGTGCCATATGTATCTATCTCAGCCTGGCTTCGCCCTGCGGTCGTAACACGAGCAGCTGGTGTTCTCTTAGAGACCTTCTGTACCTATTGTGATTTTGTAGAAAACAACCACTTTATAAATAACACAAACCCCAGACTTCTTGTCCCCCTGCTCTTCTGTTGTATGTTTTTAAATGTTGCGCAGTAGGAGGATCAAATACCAGGGTACAAGATTATTCCTTGAATGTAGCCTCATTCCAGCGTGCACTGCTCAGGAGTCTTTGTTTAGTCTGACGTTGACGTGTTAAATGGTCTGTGTGGTTGGTTCAGCCAGTTGATCTTACAGTAATATGTAATTAGCTTCTAGCAGACTGTGTCAAAACATCCTTGTCTACAATTTAACGGCAGTAACAATTTCTTAGACAATCATACAGATGTGACATTATTGCCAGTAATTGTATAGAAATCATACACACAGCGGAAGTGAATCCCCTGCTGATATCCAAAAATACTTTGTAGACTTCAGAGATGTGTGCAGTTCTGTCGTGCTGTAAAATAATAAGTCTTGTTTTCTATGTAAAGGCCAGATTTTAAGATAATTTAAGATAAACATTTTTATAAAGTCCTGGTTGCAAATTAAAGAGTGAAAATGTATTCATCTCAAGGCATTTACTATTTTTTGAGCACTGGTAAAAAAAAAAAAAGTATGTGAAAACACTTACATGAACAACAGTTTTGTGTTTTGACCAACAGAAAAACAAACTTAATTCAAGGTCTCCATGACAACTGAGTGAACTTTCTCCAGAGATGCAGCTGAAAGCTCCAGTAAAATCTACTAAATGGACCTTTTTTTGTCAAACAATTTCCATGGTCAAAGATAAACTTTCATGCTCAATAGACTGTGATTTCTAACATTTGTGTTGTTGTATCATTAAAAATATGTCTCATATGTCCGGTGTATGATTTAAGTGAATCAGTTATTTCATTTTGTTCACTGTTACGGTAACATTACATGTTGTTATGGTAAATGTTAATCTGATGATCCGGTTTTGTTGTTGAGCTTCATTAAAATGATCTTCAAATATGAATTATTAGTAAACAAGGCAGCACAAGTATTAAAAATCATACACACTGTTTCCATATTCTCTGAAGTGGTGTTGTGACTTAAAGTAGGTATCAGAAGAAACTGTTTAAATTCTTCAAACAAAAAAAAGAATACAACAAACCAACATTTTAACATTTTATTGTTATATCAGCATCACGCACAATTTGATTTGGTCAACATTTATCAATTCCGTTACAATCATCTTTAATGCACATCCCCTATGTGCCAACCTGTAGTCCTCTTAATTAAATGAAATCAACATAAAACTTAATGTAATCACTGGCAGAATAAGTTGCCCTAGTTATATTTGCACTTATACTATTATGTGCCACTAAAATGGTTAATATTGTTAAAGGTATGCTATTGTTGCTATAACACAGTACATTTTTAAAGTAGAATGTTTGATTGATAGACAAATGATTGTGCTGCTATGTAAAATATATGTTAATCCAAAAAAAAGAATTAAAAACTAAGAAATGTAAGCTGGATAAAAAGGATTTATAGAAAATAAGAAAAATATTTAAACACGTGTTATTCCTCTGACATTTATGTGACATGACACGCGGTATCGGTCTACATTATATGATTTCAAGAAGTAATGCAAACAGCCAAATCTTTCCAATAGTAAATACATTCATTAAGAATGCACTTCAACTTGTTTCAGAAGAATCAAACTCTAATTGTTTAGTTTTCTCTAGCACTGTTGTAGCATTCCTGCATCTGCTAAAGTTTAAGGAAATTCTCTTCGGTACCTCTTACAGGTGATAATGTACTTGGGCAGAGCTTGATAACCACTGAATATGACCGAGATATCAGGTCCTCCGCTCACACTGTCATGCAGAATCTGTGGGTCTGTCCCCACAGCGGGTGGCAAAATAAGACCTCGTTTACCAGGGCAGGAATTTCCTGTCACCACCTCGGCCTCAACGAAATGCAGATACTCGTCAGGCTGCTTCCACACCTCCATGGCCTTTGTCACTGTGCGGGCAAAGTAGATGCCCTCTCCACATGCAGGGTCTGTATACAGAGGAAGATACACAAGACAAATACTTGTATTGTTTCTATTTATCTTT